ATGCTATAGTTTTTGCTAATCAAATATAACATCTACATAACAACATTCAAATGCAATATCGCATATTTTAGGAAGAAAGACTAAACGAATGATTCATACGTTCCTAGGAAAGTTTTGTTGTTTGATTGATATATGAATGCTCACCTCGTGAAATTATAGTATATATCTCCAAAACAAATATTTCAATAAATCAACTTTAGGTCTGGGGAACGCATGGGACTTCATCTAGTTTGGTAATAATGGTTTACTATCTCGTTATTATGCAATCTACATGAATTAAACACCACCAGAATATAGTATATCTGCTTATCTTGATCATTAAGTTGCTATCAAGAGGAAATTTCATGGAAGGAAGTGGTAGGGTTGGGGTAGAGTTAGGCTTGAAGAGGCTTAAATATTTAATAATAATAACTCCTAATACATTTTTCTAAAGGGGTCTCATGATTCATGGTAAAAAAAGTTCGACGTTGTCGGCTTGATTCTATCCCCATGTGCATCAGTTTTGATGGCAAATCTGTTTATTATTATTATTATTATTATATGTTTTGGTTTCCTGATATCAGCAACAGCAGCTGGAGCATCAGGAGGGCTTGGAAATCTAGACCTAAGGTGAATCTGCTCAAAAGGGCTTGCTCTTTTTTCAGACTCTTTGATCCTGCCTGCAACATTTCAAAACAAAAAAGTGAACCAAGAGACCTATTCAATCACTGTACAATTGAAAGACGAAACAGGTTATTTTTAAGTGAAATAAATCATAACACCGGAGCCTCGTGATGAACAATACGAACGAATGTTATTCTTCGGCTTCGAAGGCCTTCTATCTCTTGAATGAGAGCCTTTAGCTTCATAATGTGGCGTTGGCAAGCGGGCATTGGGAATTATTCTGATCTTCCCTAGCAGGACTGGATTTCGTCATCAGCTTGCTTGGCGAGGCCAAGCACGATGGCGACTTTAATTCCCTCCTTCTTTCTCTTGGCAAACTGATGTCCTCCTCAATTCTTGCCGAGACATCATCGATCTCATCCACCTCGGGGTCTAACAATTTCTTGGGATATATGTGGTTTCGAGGGATATTCTATCTTGGATGCACTTTTATCGAATATTAGGATATGAAAGATTGCGTCCCCTTCATATGAAATGACTAGAAATGTCCATGATTGATGGAATAATAATCTAAGAAATTGCTCCATCATTTGGAAAGCCATACCGTGTCATTGCACTTAGCTAGGTCACTGACCAATTTGCATCCCCTGGAACTTCGAGAAACAATTGGTTTGGCAGGCGGTTACCGTACCTTATCATACTAAAGCGGCTCTTTTTCTATGAACCTCTTTCGTGTCATCTACGATGAAATTTTAAGCCTATGTCATTAGGAAAAAAGTTGAATCGAAAGATAGTAAGATGCATTGGGTTTATGTGAACCCAATGCATCACAACTGTGGGATCGTGAGAAATGCATCACACCCAGCTATTAATTCATGCCATTCCAATGAGGGACAGTGGTGCAACAGGCTGGATGAGCTACCACAGTAAATGAACAACTATTGAGTTTGCACAAAAAGAGCATGGTTCTGACACTAAAGTTACAAATAGAATAATAATGAGAATGGTTTAATACCATAACTTCAAAGTTATAACCTGTGGCTTATTTATAGGTTCCAAAACCAATTGGACAAAGATCCTGTTAGATATAGAATATAACCAATCTAGACACAAGTCTGACCGTATATTACAGGAATCAACAAAGGTTAAGACCCCACAATATACTTCAGTTTGTGCGTCTCTACATAACAACATTCAATTGAAATATGACGTTTAGAAATAATGACTAAACTAATGATTCATATGTTCCTAGTAAGATTTTGTTGTTTGGTTGATAAATGAATGCTGACTTCGAAAATTAGACCATATATCTCCAGAACAAATATTTCAATAAATCAACTTTTAGTCGTGTAACGCATGGGACTTAAATTAGTTTGATAATAATGGTTTATTGCCTCGTTTTTATACATTATATTATTATTGCTACGTTAATTCAGCACCTACAGATTATTTTATATTTGTTTATGTTGATTATTAAATTACTATCAAGAGGAAGTTTCATAGAAGGGAGTGGTAGGGTTGGGGCAGAGTTGGGCATGAAGACACTTAATAAATTAATAATAATAATTAATAATAACTTTATCTAAAGAGCCTCATTGTTTAAGAAATTCGAGGTCCCGTCCCACGCGCATCACTTAGGAATTCGGATCCACTTTTACTTTTGTTGCACTAATTTACACTATTATAAATGTTTATTGGTACCAGCAACTCCGGCTGGACGCATAAGCAATAGCACATGCTTTCGATCTGTCTCGAATAGTTGGACGAGTAATATAGTAACCGCAACATGTCTCACCTCAAGCAAGCTCATTGACAATCAAGGATGCTCCGATTTCAATTTCCTGGCTTTTTTCAGAGCATCAGGAGGGCTTGGATCTAAGATAAATCTGCTCAAAATTGAATTTTGTTTAATTAGGTCCCGAAGCCATGAACATAGGAGAGCTTGTTATTATCTCTACTTGTGGAGGTCAAGGAGTTCGATTTACGAATGCCACCTTGGAAACCTATCCATTACCACTACCCAAGAAAAAGTGTTAAGAAAGATCTTTGTCCGAATTAACGGGACACCTCGCGTGTGAAAGTATGTACAAGGTGATTACTCTGTCTTGGGCTATAGGCAGAAGCAAGCAGTTGTGGAGAATATCTTAGTTTCTGATTATTTTGTCTGCTCCTCATCAATGGAAACAAAGGCAGGTAACAGAATGAATGTAGAAACAGAGCTCCATACATCATTTGTTGTTACGGCTAAGAGAATGACTTGCATTTTGATGATAAGAGGAGAAGTTCACACGGGGACAGAATTATTAAATACATCAGATTTTCTAGAAGTGATTGTTGATTTCTAATCGAAACTGGACTTTTTGCATCTGTTTCCACAATGAAATTATGACATGACATCTTAGTCTTTTTTTTTTTTTTTGGTCGAATACATGACATCTTCACTTCTCTGTTTCCTTACATTATTTTGTGAAGCCAACTGAATTGTGTACGTCTGGGCTTTGACAACTTTCATGCTAAAGCTGGAGCTGGCTAGGCAACTCTCTCAATGAAATTATGTCCTGACATCTTAGACTTCGCTTCCCTACTTCCTTACATTTTTGTCGTGAAGCCAACTGAATTGTGTTCGTCCGTGCCTCAACAACTTTCAGGCTAAAGCTGGAACTCGCTCGAACTGGCTCGGCAACTCTCTCAATGGTCAGTCCTCTTTTTGTTCCTTGAGATATAGTCTGATCTCTTTCACGAAAAGGAAATTTGATGGCTCTTTGATATGCGGACTCTTTTCACATGCTCAAATAATGTGAAATTGAAATATGTGGGCATATGCTGCTTTGAAGTTTGCCGCTGCGTGCTTGCCTGGGTTGAGGGGCGACGCTGGTATTGTCGAGTGTGCATTTGTTGCTTCTCAGGTTTGGTGACTTAAAATAACTTGTTGAGATTGAAAAATCTTTGTATTTCTCTCAAATCCAAAATGAAACCACCAATGATGCTCTTTATCGTTGTCCCCATATTTCAGGTGATTAAGGGTGCGCATGGCAACGATTCTATAATCAGGAACTGATTCTGCTTAGAAATGATTTTTTTTTATTTTGTGTCTGGGAACAATTTCTAAGCATTTGAAGGCATTTGGTAACTGCCCAAAATTTCTATTCTTAGAATAGAAAAAGAACATAAATGCATTTGGTAACTGCACAAAATTTCTTTTTATTAATAAAATTTTAAATATTTTAATATTTCTTTCTCCTTTTTTCCTTTTTTTTCTTTTTTTTTCCTTCCCGTCCTTGGCCATGGCAAGTCATCGGCGCCGGCGACCGGCCACAAGCCGGGCGGGCGAGGGCGTCGCGGCCCTCGCCGGTTGCAACGGCGAGGTCGGCCTCGCCATGGTCGGGCAAGGCTTGACCTCGCCCAGATCTGGCAAGGTCGACCTCGTCGTCGCCACCCCCGGCGACGGCGAGGTCGGCCTTGCCATGGCTGGGCGAGGCCTCGCCGTCGCGGCCGCGAGCCGCCCTCGTCGGCCCGACCGTGGCGGCACAGACTGGGAAGAAGAACAACAACAAACCAAAAGGAAAAAGAAAACTAAGAAGAGTCAAAAATGGAAAAATTATTCAATTAAGAAAATACTTTTATTTTGCTTCTTAATTATGTTCCAAAATTAATTCTAACAATTTTTTGCAAATTTGTACTCGGGCACAAAAATTTTAATAAACAGATTGCTCCCAAACCGATTTTGGGAACAAAAGAACCTAAATTTTTACTATTTGACAACCTGCCAAACGCCCCCTAAGCTTCTGTTCTTTGCATCCAAAGTGTGCCTTGGTCGTACTGGGGCTGAGGAGGTTCTTCCCCGCGGTCCGCTGAATGAGTATGAAAGGTCTGGAGTTTTAATAATCTCGAATTTTTTATGTATGTTGTCATTGCATCAAAGGAAGAAGTTTTTAATTTCACGTTTGTTTGTTAACCTGTAGAGCTGGCTTGGAGTAAAAGACTATAGTATTTTCCCCACAAGTGTAAGGATTCATGTTTTTTTTTTACTTGCAAAAGTTCGAGTAAAATTTGTTCCGTTTGAATAATTAAATATTAAATTATGCTTTTATTTAATAATTTAAATTTTTAGAAAAATTGGAAGTGATTTCGTTAATATCCTCCATGTTGTAGAGTTTTTCTTTTGTTCTCCTTTTGTATTTGGGCATCGGTGGAAACTTCAAAGGACAGCCCCTGCAGAGGGCGGCTCAGATCCATAAGAATAATGCTAAAAAAGTACGTCACTCAGGCCTGGTAAAGATCTGTTCTTGGGAACCGGAGCTAAACCCTACAATACCTTGAATCTCAAACACTTTCCACTTTCTAGTTCTCTCTCAGATCTTGGCTCTCTCCCTCTTTTCTCCGGCGGCTCCCTTTGATCTCTCTCTCTTTAGTCTTGACTAAGTCCCTGTCTCATCTCATCTCATCTCTCTAGATCTCGACTCAGTCGCTGTCTCATCTCGCTTGGCCGTCGATCAGCGCATTCTAGGTACTCTCTCTTTATATCGGTTTCGTTTTCGATTTCTTGATCGAATGCCATCACCAATTGATGGCTGTGAGTTGGTGATTAACTAAACCCATCACCTGTTTTTCAGTTTTATCTAAACTGCGCTCGATTGATTTCTTGAGCAAGCCCATCGACTATTTTCGTTCAGCTCGATTCTGTCTCAAGTCTCAATTGCTTCGTGCCATGGCACCAGCCACTCGCACATCAGGAATGGAGTTCGAGGTGTTCCTGAGTTTCAGAGGACCGGATACTCGGCGCGACTTCACTAGTTGTCTCTACCGTGAAATGGTGGAGAAAGGAATCCGCGTCTTCAAAGACGACGAAGAGCTCCGAGTCGGTGAGAAGATTGAGGGAGAGCTCTTGCAAGCCCTTGAAGACACTCAAATCTATATCCCCATCTTCTCTAAGGGCTTCGCTTCCAGTCGGTGGTGTCTCCGTGAGGTTTCGCATATGATAGATTGCACTTTAAAGTCGGAAGGGAAGAAGGATATCCTTCCCCTTTTTTTCGACGTGGAGCCAGAGGATGTGAAGCTCAAAACTGAATTGTACAGGAATGCCCTGTCTAAGCATGCGGAGAAGTATGGCCCGGATGAGGTGAAGTGCTGGGAAGCTGCTCTTGTTGAGGTTGCAACTAGAGTAGGCTGGAAGAGGGAAGGGAAAGAGTAAGTTTCCATAACTTTTTCCTGCTATTAATTTTAGTATAATCTGAAAAGAGCCAATTTTTTCTTATACATTTGAAAACATCCCAATTTCAATTTATCTTCGAGTAACTATAATTTATCTCTATAATTGATATAGTTGAAACAATTCAATGCGAATGTTTGAAGTCATTCTCAGGTTGTGGTTAAATGCTAAGTTTTAGCATCCTGTTTGGTTTGTCAAAAGCCTAAAACAAATTTAAATAGCAAAATAAATATTTTTCAACAATTTAGAGAAAAAGGAAAAGTACAAACAGCAAAAAGACAAATATTAATGCTTGTTCAGTGTAGATCAAACATACTGATTTTATACTACTAGCACATGAACTAATTATATGTTTGATAAATCTCAAAATATTGCCTGCACATTAAAAATAACAAAAAATCATTTGATGAAAATCAGATTTCAACAAATAACAATTAATTTGTTTTATGTAGATAAGCAAGCACCTGAATCAGGTCACTTCGTCTCTACAATTACTAAAGGAAGTCTATTGTGTCTCCTAGATCTTATCGGGATTTAAGGAGAGAGACTTGGAGACGCGGCATAAAGTGAACCTTCTATGCCGCTTATATTTTTTTTTCATGAGCATTCTATGACATGAGTTAATTGTTGCTGATATTTAATTTTTAACCAGCCAAAGGCCTCGTTAATTCTCATTTATTTAATCTATGAATAAGTAGAAGGACAAAATAGTCACAAAGATATAATTAACTTCTTTTCCACTCTCTTCTCTGCTTCAACCAAATATGAAATGGCTTAATTTCCTTCATTTTCTTTTTTATCTTCCGTAAGCATACAAACAACTGTAAAATCAACCGTTTCTTTCTCTTGGTCATCACCCGAGTCCCTTCCATTTTCTCTTAGTCACTGCATCCAAACTGAGTGCTGGTGTTTAAACCCAATCAATGAGAGTTTGGGCAGCAGTGTTAGGGTTTAAACCCAACCAATGCAAGTCTGGCCAGTAGCCACGGTAGCTAATTTGAGCCCTTTATAAATTGAATAATTTCATTGTAACTTGGGGCTGTTATGTTTCAATGAAATCAAATTTGTTATTTGAAAAACTGCCACTCTTTGCAAAACAGTCTTAATATATGTAGATTATCTTATTCAAATCGGATATGCTTGAAAGCTAGGAATAGTACGTTTTCATCATTTTCTCAATCTGAATTTGTCCACCATCTTTGTATGGCAAGTATGGAGAACTTATAGGATCGATTGTTCGAGAGGTCCAACTTAAGCTGAAGGTGAAGAATAGATCTCTTCCTGACCATCTAGTTAAAGTGGACGATGAAGAAGCCATAGAGGAATTGTTGGATGTTGACTCTGATGGCGTACGATTCGTCATAATCCATGGTACGGGTGGTATTGGTAAATCAACTCTGGCTAAGGTTATCTTCAACAAATTCTTGTCTAAATTCGGTTGCTCCAGTTTCCTTGAAGATGTCCAAAGTCATCATCTTTTAGACATGCAAAAGAAACTGTTATCCGACACAATAGGCGCGACCTCTACTGACGGAATCCATGACACTAACGATGGGATCAATCGCATAAGAAAAGGACTTAGCGAGAAAAAGGTTATGGTTGTTGTCGATAATGTGAACGACAAGGAGCAACTCGAGAACCTCGCAAGGAGCTACAAATGGTTCGGTTCCGGAAGCAGGATCATCATCACAGTCAGGGACAAAAGGACAATACCATATAGGACGATGCTAGATGAGGAGAACCAAACGCGACCTAGCTATTACATGGACTACCCAGTAAAGGAGATGCCTTTGGATCAAGCGATTTTGCTATTCAGCAAGCATGCCTTCAGAAGCGATACTCCTCCAAAAGATTGGCACAATTTCTCGAAAGTAGTCGTTTTAAGCATAGGGAGGCTTCCTTTGACTCTTGAAGTCGTGGGTTCTCTTTTCGCCAACACAGACAGATCGAAGTGGCACGAGACATTGAAGGACTTAAAGCAAGTCCCGCATGAGGAAGTCCGAGACACACTGATGATAAGTTTCAACAAATTGGATCCCAGAAAAAAAGCAATATTCCTAGATATTGCATGTTTTTGCATCGGGGAGGATAAGACGCATGCGTATTACATGTGGGATGATTGTGGATATTCTCCACGTAGCGCAATTGATGATCTTCTCCTCATGTCGTTGATAAAGATTGATGAGCACAATAAGTTCTGGATGCATGATGAAATTCGAGATCTAGGAAGATACCTTGTCAAGGAAGAGAATTTTGAAGATGCTGGAAAGCGCCGTTGGGTGTGGATTGACAAGAACACTTTAGACGTGCTGAGGAGCAACAAGGTGAAAGTCACTAATGGTAGAAGATATGATCAATCCATGAAATCTTTCGTCATGTGTTTAAAAATCTAGAATATCGGTTGATGACTTGCTTTGTTCACTAATTTATAAAGAAATAGAAAGCAACTCTATAAACAACAAAAGTCACTAATGGTAGAAGATATGTTTTCATGCCTTCCCCATGTTCATTCGTTTCTTATTTCGGTGAGAATGAAAATGAGTTCTTTGTTTCTTTCCTTGAAAAGGTGTTTAGTCTGTGAAACGACAGAAATAGCAACACTGAATGAACATTTTAAACATGCTTGGTTTGTCTTCTTTTCAAATTGATAACAAATAAGGTGGCTGTTTTTTTTTTACAACATGGCGACTGATTTAATCAGTTTGGGGTCTAAGAAGAACTACTGATATTTATGACTACTTTCTTGGTTTATTGCTTTCTATGGTGCACTCATCTTTATTCTCTGATGCTACTGGCAGGAAAACCCAGATGTACGAGCACTCAGTCTGGGTATTAGTCATGACTTTACACCTGAAGAATTAGCTCGTTTTCCAAACTTGAGGTTCCTTGGAGGGGAAAGAATGAATTTCGTGGGCAACTTCGAAAATCTTCTTCCCAATCTAAGATGGCTTTCTTGGCGTTATTGCCCACAGAATATTAGAGCGACGAATCTTCGACCGGTGAATTTGGTAGTGCTTAACCTTTCGCGGAGCGAAATCACCCACAAATGGGGTGGATGGAGGCAAATCAAGGTACCAACACTCCTCGCTTACATTCCCTTCAAATTCTACTGATTGACCTTCGCTAGCTAGTTGTATGCTACTGTATTCTCATACTTGTCGTGGGCATGTCATTGGCCTTCTTTATCCACTGCAGATGGCGAAAAAGTTGAAAGTTCTAAATTTGGAAAATTGCTTTATGTTAACCGAGACACCTGATTTTTCCGAGTTTGGCAAGTTGGAGAAATTGATTCTCGCTCGGTGTATTGGTTTGTCTACAATTGATAGTTCAATTGGTAAGCTAAAACTGCTAAGTGCTTTGAATTTCGAGGGATGTAGCTCCCTTCAAGGGTTGCCCAAAGAAATCGGTTCCCTAAAATGCTTGTCAGAGATTTTCCTTTGCTCAACAACGGAACATTTTAAATTTCCTGAGACACTAGGCAATCTAAAATCTTTGACCAAGTTTGAAATTTTTCGATGTCCGGGTATCAGCCAACTTCCTCGGTCTATTGGAAAGTTAACGAATCTCACGCATTTGATTTTGCGTGAATGCGAAACTTTGCATAAGCTTCCGGACTCTCTTGGGGAATTAGAATCATTGGTCGAGTTGGATATACAAGGGTCATCTATCTTCACTCTTCCTGATTCCATTGGAAATCTGAAGAGACTAAAAGTCATTAGGGTGGCAAGTTCAAGGATACATATGATACCTTGTGCTCTTGGACAGGTGGAGACGCTCGAAGTGCTCGATGCCTCGTATTGTCAGCATATCATGAATGAAATCCCGTGGGAAATGTGGAGCCTGACTCGTCTGAGGACCTTGGACTTATGTATGATCCCAATCTCTACACTGCCGCCAAAAATAAGTGGTTTCTCTAGTCTCCAAACACTTAAATTTGAAATTGCAAGGGGCCGGTTTTGCCCATTGCCGGAGCTTCCCTCGAGTTTGAAATTCCTTGAGGTGGTGGGCGTTGATAATTTCAATGTTCTTCCCGACCTCTCGAGCCTAGTCCACTTGGATCATCTCCACTTGTGTGGGCCATTTACTGCACTTTGGAGCGAGAACGAGAACGAGGTCATGCTGTCCATCCATCAGCTTCCGCGTGGCTTATCAACCTTGAAACTTCACTATATCCCGCAATTGCCAGATTTTTTCGACTTCAAAAACTTGTCGATTCTCACCATCAGCGGATGTCCGATGCCACACTTCCCCGTCCTTAAATCCTTGGAGAGGTTAAGGAAATTGGAGATAACTCACTGCAAATTCCTAGAGAAGACACCCGATCTTTCGGGCTTGAAGAAGCTAGAAAAGCTACAGCTCTGCCTGTCATGCCCCGTACCCCCACGAAGCGTGAGCATCCCACCTTCGGTCGATAAATTGCGACGTCCCAGGAAGCGTCGCCGACCCACGCCCATACAGAGATCAAGCACAAGCGGAAGTATAAAATAAACAAACCCGAGACAATTACAATATGAGCCAAGGATAGCCATCCAATAAACAACGATCAACGCAGAAAATATGTACATACTTATATTACTATTTTAAAACTCTTTTACAGTGTTCACGACAACCAAAAAGGAAACACCAACAGCTGGGAATAACCCAAACAGCCACTTCTCCGTTCTGCTCCGTCTCCACAGGGGTGCATGCTCAACGACCGCTGGATGAAATGCAGCATCCCAAAAAGTGGTGGTGTCCTCGGCATCCTACGGTTGGGGGTCCGAAAATGTTTCGGTTTACACAACCGTGAGACGAATCTCAGCGAGTTCAACCCCTAAACCTAGGCTAGGCTAGCATGCAATCTCCTGACCGGAAACAAATATTTATAATCACAACACGACAATAATCAAATCATTCTCAAACCCTGCAGGTTAGACAGATCAACATATAATAATCACAGCACATACGTGGCACGCATGATCACCCGTATGCCAATTACATGCTCATGCACTGATTCTCACACCTTCGTATGCCAGTCTATGGATGTTCATGCATGCAAATGTCGTCGACATGTCATGCGTATTTCTCCGGCCCACTGGCCCACACTGGCACACTTGCCCAATTCATTATTATTACGACTCGAGTCATCAATTTTTCACGGCCCGGTTCGTCTAGCCTGCTTCAAAGTGCATGAGGCGCAGCAACCGATCTGGCCCAGTGTCTCTAGCCTGCTTCAAAGTGCATGAGGCGCAACACTGTCTCCTTGCGAACCAGAGCCTGCTTCAAAGTGCATGAGGATGGTTGCCTTCCGGACGTACCGGGCATCGTCCTGCTTCAAAGTGCATGAGGACGGTATCGACCCGAAGGTCCTTAGGTGATCACACAACTTATTATTATCTGAACCCAGCGTATAACGCTTCAGGGTATTTTAGGTGATCACATGCTCATGGCAGACACGCATTCTCGCACAATTTCACCACATGCCACACTCTTGGCATACACAATGCGTGTCCATGTTATGCAATGCAATGCACCACGAGCGCCAATGAAATCCAATCACTCAATATCACAGCACGTGCTCAATTGGCCCAATTAATACCGTGTGGCCCAACGTGCGATTCACAATTCAAACACATATTTCAAACCAATCATTGGCCAATCGCACTCCACAAAATCAGCCACACAATGTCACGAGAGATGAATACAAGCCAAGGCACTCAAGGTCGATCTCCCACACTAATATACCAAACATACTCATGCTCGATTTAGACGCATTCAACTCATCCTCAATACAATCAATTTATTTCCGTTCTCACCCAACCCATTCAACATTGATTCCGCATATTTATTACAATTCAATGTAATGCGCCTAAGGCCCGCCTTGGCAAATTAGACTTAGTCCTCATTCTCATTGGTACGGGGTCAATAGATAGGATTTATATAAGTCCTAAATAACCCCTAAAAATGCCTAATTCCTTGCCATCAACCAATGACTCAACTAAGTACTCAACTTGGACAAATTGCACAAATTCGGTACTCAATGAACAGTACCAGGGGAGGACACATTTTGTCCACTAAACCACAATTAAACACCCTCATTAGGCTCTAATCTCAAACTCCAATCACCCAACAACCAAATACACTTAATTAGGCCTCAATTAAGTCCAAATAACACTTGAATTGCCTAATTTCAAGTCTTGAATCATTGAACTCAATTAGTGCCACACTTAGACAAATTTGTGCAATTTCGGTACTAATGAACAGTGCCGTGCGATTAAGCCTTAGTCACTAGTTCACACTTAAACAATCACATTAAGGCCTAATCACATACCCTAATCACCCAACTACCAAATACACTTACTTAAGCTTCAAATAAGCTTAATTAGCCCCTAAAATGTCCAATTCTAAGTCATTAACCATTGAACTCAATTAGTACAAAACTTAGACAAAAATACACAATTTCGGTACTCGGTGAACGACTCAACAGGGTGTTTTGGGCCTTAATCCACCATTAAAACATCTCATTAGATCCTAATGACCCATACAAAACATCACACGCACAATTAAACCTAATTAACCCTCAATTAGGCCTAACTAACCCCTAAAAATGCACAATTAAACTAATTAAGGGTTTAGGGGTTTATACTCGCCTATTAACGACTCGGGACGACGAGAACGGGCGGTCGATCACCGACGCGCTGTAAGGATCGACGGCGGCGTTCCGGGTGCAAGCCGGCGGTCCGCGGCGACATCGGCGGAGGCGATTTGCTGCTGGTTTTGTTCTGTTTGGGCTGGAAATGGGACTGTGGATGGCCGAACAGGTGAGAGGAAGGTCCAAGGGTGCTGTGGCGTGCGGTGGTAGGTGGCCAGCAGCTCCGGCTGGTACTGTTCCGGCGTGAACAGTACCAGAAAATGCAGAACGTGAACTGCAGAACCAGAAACGGAAGAGAAGAAGAAGATTTTCTGGGGAAATGACCGAATGAATCTCACGAGAGAGAGAAATGGTCTGGTCCAAGTGAGTCAACAATGGGTGAGTGGATTCCAAGTGTCAAGATCTAGGGCTATTGGACAATTTTGCCCTTGATCCAATGGCTATAATTCCTTCTTATCCAATTATTTAGGGGTAAAATGGTCATTGATCCTTAACCCAAGCTGACCAGACCTGGTTTAGCCCTAACTCACCTTGGTTAGTCCCCTAATTAAATCCAAAATTCGGAATTACCAAAAATGGGTCCAAGGGCATTTTGGTAATTTTTCGGTCCCGAGTCAAAATTTCAATTTTCGCACACCCGCGTTCCATATGTGCGTGGCCAACATAATATGGCGTCGGAATCGCGAAATTCACTTTTTAAGTCCTCGAAAACTGACTGCAAAGTTTCGGGAATAAAATAATATTATTTTTCCAATTTTTGTCGATATTCCACTTTTTGGCCAAAACCACTCTAAATGTGCATGGCCACCCCAAAATGACATTGGCCGCGAAAAATAACCTCAAACGGCCTCCGAATCTGGCCTCGGTGCCCACAGGGGCAAAACCGTAATTTCTCACCCCCGGACCGAAATTCCAATTTTCACTTGTACTAACCCCAAACGTGTGTGGCCAGCGTAATATGACGTCAAATTCCCAAAAATAGTCTCTTAAGCCTTCGAAAATCGACCTCGAAATCCGGGCTCAATTCCGTGAACAAAACTCGCTAAACTTTCAATTTCAGGGTCTCTCACTAACGGGCGGCTGTTTAGGAGTTACGCGTATCGACCTAGGGCTATCCATATCGTAATGGTCTCGATCATTGAGAGAATGAGAAATTATCATTAGTTCCAGAGGTCACGATCGCTCGGTTCAAGTTCAAGACTGGTTGGCCACGTGTACTTTCGGTCTTGCAGAATCACCTGCGATCCGATGGTACATCGTTGGCCTTGGCCAAACCAGATCCGTTACCTTTCCTAAGATCGGTCCATACTGGTTCATAATATTCTCTCGTCATTTCTCGAGATCGGTGCCCAATTCACGATCGGGTCCCTGGTCCACGTACCATTTTCCTAGTTAGCCATACCCCATTGGTTAGTATCCCGAGAGTGATCAGCTCTGGGCGAGACTTACTAAAATGAAATGCGAAATATGGTCAATTTATTGATCCCGGAATTACATCGAAATTCAAGCTGTTACACTGCCACTTAGACAAATTAGCTGAGATTCCAGGTTTGGGTGAACTGGAATCACTAAAGTTTTTACGCATTTGGCGTTGTAGGGAGATCGAACAATTACCTAACCTCTCGAAGTTGAAGAATCTACGTTATCTCATGCTATGGGATAGTTCTAAGATTAGAGCCGTGGAAGGCTTGGAAGAATTGATTTCTTTGAAGAATGCGGAGATCGAAGGATGCAAGTCCCTAGAAAGGTTGCCTGATTTGTCGGCAATCACCAAGTTGAAGACAGATTGGAAGCCGCCAAAATTTGCAGAAGACACCATTCAGTCTAATATGCCTGAACGACCCCCCACCATTCGTGGGGTTGTCAAAAAAGCCCCGCCCCGCCCAGCCCGGTCCAAAATTTTGGGGTGTTTTGGGGTTGGGCCTTGGTCTTCTTTGCTTAAGGCTTTTAAGCGTGGGCATTAGAAGGGTTAGGGCAGGGTCGGGTCCGACCCATTGACACCGCCGGGACCACCCAGTTACCCACTCATCTCTGCCTGTCTCTCCCCTTCTCCTCTTCTCTCCCTCTGCGCAGAGCGTGACAATACCCCAACACCGATCGCCCCTCCGCTCGCCGTGAACTTCAGGCGACTAATAGCCTTTGCCTCCATCACCGTTCGCTCCCCTGGGTGTGCGACGAAACCCTAGTCGCATGCAGTTGAGCGATCTCATCACGGCAATGGGCGAGAGATACGACAGCTCGTTTCCGCCTCTCTCTCTGTCGATTCCGTTGGATATCTTCTTGCGTGCTATCGTGAATTCTCGCGACTTGAACTCTGCCTTTTCGGTTGAATCGTGACAGCGAGGATCGAGGTGCACGAGCTGAGGCAGAAGTCGAAGGCCGATCTGCTGAGCCAGTTGAAGGACCTCAAGGCCGAGCTCTCCAAGATGTGCGTCGCCTTTTGGGTAGATGGTAATGTCACACTAACAACACTAATTGACTTGGAAAAGGCAGTGAAGGGGGACTAGATCTAGAAAAGCAAGAAGCCAAGAAAGAAGGAGAAAAAAAAACACGAGGTGGGTGTTCGTGGGAATCGGTTCTTGTGGGTGCGAAGCACAGAATCGGCTCTGATTGCAGAAATTCCTACAGGACTCCTCGAGAAGCCCAAGAAATGCCGTAGCCCCTTATTTCTACGAACTGGTGCTTTCCTCCACAATCCAAGACAAGAGGCTGGTGAGGATTCGTTGTCCCGACTTCGCTTTCCGTTGTGTTCCTTTTGACAATTCCTCGCGTGATTCCTCAATTCGATTGCGTTCCGTCTGGGATTGTTTGGCCTTGCATTTTCAAGTGCTGTTTGTTTGTTGGGTTTGTCTTGTTTATTTTTTTTTGTTGGGTGGTGATTTCTGGTAAATTCGAAGCCGCAATGACCGAGGTTTGATTCATGGCCCGTTACAATTGAGACCCAGGAAATAGTTTTGGCCAGAAATCTTGGTGAAAGAGAAAAAAGATTGAGGTCTATGATGATTGCCCTGCTATTTGGAGGCAACGGGTATACTTAATTTAGGGTGGTCAAATGGTAATAGAGCTTGATTTTCCGGAGGCATTTTCTGGTTGTCTGGCTCATAGAGAATTCAAATTGGTGAAGTTGTGTTATATCTCAAGTACAAAGTTTCAGTCGAAACTATGAGTGAGGAGGACAAATTGCTTTGTATGAGTGGCTGCAAAAGTATCTGCTGCATGGAAGGCTTGAAGCTCAACTTTTAATTCACCATGCAGCATTGGTTTGACTTTTTTGCATTGCAATCTGTGGGAGACTGGTATTTTGATGGGTGATGAATGTATGGGTGATGTGTACTTTCTGGTAATGGGTGGCAATGGCAACTTTGAGTTCTGTGCTGGAAGTCCGTCGGGTTATGGTAGTTTATTGGATGATTCTGTTGGATGCTCTACCAGTAATTATGTTATTTCGCCATTGTTTGCGATTATTCGAGTGTTGCTAGAAATATCGAGCTGTGTCGACTTCTGACTACGTTTGGGGAAGTTTGTTTCGGTCTCAATGTTGGAGTGTACACAGTATGGTAGTTGTTAATTTGGAAAGATGAATGCAGGGGGATTTTGTTAGATTTTGGTTTAACGCTCGATTAGTTAGTGTGAATATCAATTAAGGTTGTGCAGGTTGAGTTCTTGACTTCCTGTATTGATGCACTTGGATATGGAAACTAAAGAAAAGGGAAAATGGTCCTATATCTCACTAGGAGCTGGATCATCATTACATGTTTTTTATATCTTGTGTTGTGGCATTTGCACCTTCACCTTGATGGAGCAATTTACTTTTTGTATGTCATTACCAAGTGTACTTTTCTTCTACTATGTATCTTTGACTCCTCAATTCTTGAACTAGGTGCTTCTTGATGTCTTCAGATAACTACGGTCTTCTAGCGACTTATGACTTGTGACTTTGACAGGGTTTGGTAGGGATTTTCAACGCCGATCAGCAACTTAGTGACCTGGAATAACAGAACATTCAATCTTTTTCTACCGAAATCTGGTGAGTTTTTTGTTCAAATTAACATTCAATATTCAGATAACTAAGAGTTGTCTTATGTATGCTTTTCTTGTATTTGTCAAGAGTATGTTGAGGACTACATTTCTGATTGTAATAATAGTTTGCAGGTTCTAAGTGTCGTAGATAGAAGGATTGCTAAATGTCTAAAGTAAGTGCTTCTAGTGTCACACCAAGAAGGACGAGATCTACAGTGTGGGAACACTTTAAATATATTCCTGATCAAGAAAAGGCTGAATGTATGTATTGTGGGGCCTGTATTAGTTGTGCTAGTGGTCAAGGGACCAGTTTGATCCCATCGAAGCAAAACGTTAGTTCTCATTTTTCGGCTTTTGTTTGCTTACCTATAGAGCTGGCACGGAGAAACGGCTGAGAAAGAGAAAGGTGGCACGGCACGTGGATTAGAACCAAATTTGCGGCCCGGCACGTGGAGGAAAGCCAGATTGACAACGCACATTTGCCACCGACATGAACTAATCCAAGTGTCCACTTCTTGAGCCATCTATTATATTTCTTGATGGTGTTGAAAAGATATTTTCGTTCTCAAATTGATTTCTTTGCGATGCACGAAGTTATTATGCTCTATCCATTTCAATCATCTCTAAAGTATGAACTTATCGTGTATGACTAGGCTTAACAGGTATTCATTACCAATATCTACAATATTGGTCGCATGGGGCACGATGGCATCTCCTCGTGTTTGTGGTTTAGCGGGAAAAAAAGAGGCCAAAATTATTTCCAATTTGTCACACAATTGACGAAACAATAACGGGGACCACTGCAATAACCCAATCCGCTTATTGAAATGTTGCCTCCGTGATTTTGAGAGTGGTCCTGGTTAATTGACTCAAAAGTGTTTTCTTGGGAGATGGAGAACATATGGAATCAACATTGAGGCCTTTAGAAAACTCAAAAACGTTGCTGGAGATATGAAGCATTTACATTTATGGTCATAGGCCATCTGTTATTATGGAAATGGCCAGTGTCTTTTCGTAATGTGAAGATAACAGGATAATAAACGGAAGTAAACCGTTGCAAACTGATATTAAGACCATGCTATCCTGTATCTTTGGTTGGAGGAAACTAGCCTTTTGATTGGTGATTTATAGGAAATTATGACCTTAACTTGTATTATATATAATCTCCATTATGGATGAATGAATAGATGTAATTAGATTACTTTAAATGACATAAATATCACACATGTAAGTAAAAAAAGAAATTAACAACTAAAGTTCCCTTCGTTTCACGGAAAACAACTTTCAAGAAAACGTTTTTCCAGATTTTCCAACGTTCAATTCACGGAAAATAAACTAGTCAATGAAAATATTTTCCCTCGATAGAAAAACCACCTTCAAAAGTGAAAAAAATTCCTTCTCTTTCCTCCCTACGCTCCTTCACATTCATTTTCTAAAATTATTTTTGTTTTTTGAATTTTTTTTATAATTTTTTATTTTTCTTTTTCTTTTCTTTTCTTTTTTTATTTCTTTTCTTTTCTTTCTTTCTCTGCCGGTTGCCGCCCACGAATTTGACAAGTTTTATTGATTGTACTATCTAAAAACTTTAAAAGTCAGATACACTTTTACAATAATTTGTAGGACTTAATTTACACTAGTCCCAAAATAAAAGTTAAGAATCGAATCTTTTCGCTCCGCACCCTCCAATTCCCTCCCTTAAAAAAAATTAAAAGAGTCTGAGCACCTTTTGCATGGAAGGAGTATATCAATGCTTGGATCATCATTTATCATTTGTGATGATGATATCTCTTTTCTTTTCAAAATTAGTAAACTTTAGAAAATTGATTTAAGAGTTTAACATTAAATTAGCTCAAAAATATTGTGCAGGACCTCGCTGGGGGCTCTCAGCATGTGCTCGGGCACCAGCAGATGAAGTCGTAGCGCTGGAACGCGAACACGATCGAGCAAGAAGAGCAACCCAATCAGGAGCAGTTACTTTCATGGAGGCGGCTGGAGGGACTGGGCAGCCTCTGGCATTGTGGATGAAGAAGACCAACCTTCTCGTCCCTGTTCTTCCTCTGTATGTGATGTTGAGAACGCTGCTGGTGTCAGCGCGGATATATCAGCCACATGGACACCGGAGCCGTGGTGAGTTTAGGATGAACGGAATTGCTGGGCTATATAAGAAGATGGAATTTGATATAGTTGATCGTTTTCTTGGTGATATTGTTTTGGATCACCTTTTCAGATGAGTGAGCTCGGTGTCCGTTGAATACATGGATCGTTTAATGCGTCAGACTAATTTGTTGCTTCTATTATCAGGTCCGTGGATTTCTGGGACAGCAACAACTGGAGGAATTGTCAAAACGTAAATGCTGGACTCGTCACAACCCTTCGTGATGGAATTACCAAACGTTGCCCGAAAGCTTTCGTCAACCTGATTAGCCACCCTGTTAGCTCCACAGTTCCCATCGCAGCCGAAGTTTTCATGAGAGCTGGCACTTACGATCCAGAGAGACTGTTTGGTGTGACCATGCTCGATGCAGTTAGAGCAAATGCCTTTGCGGTACTTATCGCTCCTGCTTCTACTGTCTTGCTGATACCATCAAGAAGCATCGAGTATCTTTACAGGGTACGGAGAGTATCAGGTTGTCAGCTTTGTATGAGCCTACAAAGATAGAAGCGTATTTTACATTGTTTAGCACCCTCTTTTGTCCCAAACGTTATGTCTTGCGTACCTGCAATTGATAACTTGCTCCAAGGGCATCTAACCTTTTCCCGGCTTTCGAAAAGATATTCTAAGTGGGACCTGGTATTTCATTCAATAGGCTGATGCCTCGTGTATTGGATCATGTGGAAGGTGTAGAAATGAAGTTAATAAAATCGGTCTATTTCCGAGCCTAGCAGCTGAGTCCAGAAGCCCCGTTTAGTTAATTGTTTTGGGTGAAATATTGATGTAACTGCTGTTATGTGTTAGCGAGTGTTATTGGTTCTCTTCTCAGAAGATTGTTTATGGTCAATAGATACTTGGTACCAACGCTCAGGCGGCAAAATCTGTCCAAGATACCAGTTTCGAGACAATGCCACAAAAGCCAACTACTTTTTGCCTTTCCCATGATATTGTTTTGTAGGTGTTCGCTAAAATATCTCAGCAGACTTCTGATCTATTATATTACATGAAGGCAGAAGAACTAGGCCTTGATCCTAGAGAAGTTGATGTTCCAGTTGTTGGGGGTCCTGCAGGAGTGACAATATTACCTCTTTTATTTGAGGTTTGTGGTGTATTCTTCCTAATAAGAACTTCTTATGTGTTCGACAGCAAGGCTATTAGAAATTGCACTTCTCTGCAGAATGCTAAATGTCAGTTGGCATTTTCAAAATCTGTAGGTTAAACCACCTTGTTCTTCACTCCTCAAGATTACCTGACATCACACATCCAAAATGGCGGCACAGAAGTTGTCGAGGTAAATAAATTTCGATTTGTTGTGGATTTAGATGTCAATTTTGG